ACACCGATATTTCCAAAATTTACAAAAACATTCCATCTTTCTCCACCTCTAACGCGTACGGTCACACTGGTGCTTAAGTGCAAAATAAAATCTTGAACAAATTTTAAAGCAATCGCTGCGATATAATGTTGATACTGAGCTAACCTGTGCCCCACCCCGCCCTGTCGCCCATCAACCAGCCAAGCACTTCTTCGCCTTTAACAGCGTCTACATGGACGCCCCCCCGCCCACGAAGCCTCCGAGGGGAGTGAAGTACGGAAAGGATGAGGTAAATTACTTCAAGCCATCGCTGAAAATGTTGTTCCACTCGCAGCACAGTCTCTCCGATCAATAAACCCACCTGGAAACCCCGCCTGGTTGTGTTGCGTTTTGATTGTTGTTGGCTAAGCTTTAGGTTTTAGGGCCGCCGCCTGCGAGCGGGTCCAAAGTTGATGACGACACCATCTGGTTGTTGTTGCTGCCGCACGCCCTCTTTTTGCTGGCGATATATGTGCTTTTCCTAGATTACAAATGAGTAATGCCCGGTGGTCGGCTTCCCTTTGCAGTCCGCAGGATGTGGCTTCCTGGTCAACGTCATTAAGTCGCTGGGCTTCAGCGAGACCACCGAGGAGCGCCAGAAGGAGAAGCAGAAGATCGAGCAGGAGTTCAAGCGCTCGGATCTGCGGCTAAACGAGCTGGTTTCGCGCCACGACCAGCAGCTGACCCAAGTGCTGCCCCTGTTCAGCCAGGTGTCCTCGGAGGTGACGACCAGCCGGGAGCGGATCCATGCCGTCAAGGAGAACCTCGGAGTGTGCAAGCGGCTGCTCCAATGCCGTCGCGACGAGCTGCGCAAGATGTGGATGGATGCAGTGCAGCACAAGTACGTGCTGGAGATGCTGGAGCAAATGTAAGTGCCTTGGCATTGGCCTTTGGGGTTCATCAAACTCGCTCTAACTTCTCGACCACCTTCCAGTCAGGAGCTGCGCAAAGTGCCTCAGCGGGTGGTGGGCTACACCGCCAAACGCCAGTATCTGCATGCCAGCAAAACCCTGACCGATGCCCTGGCCACCCTCAATGGACCCTTGCAGGCCGTCGAGGGCTTGTCCGATCTGCGGACCGACCTGCAGACCCGTCGCCAGCAGCTCTACCAGCGCCTGCATGAGGAACTGGTCACCCAGGTGTACACCAACTCGGCAAGCGAGGCCCTCTCCTCGTTCCAGCGCAGCAACTCCAGTCGCTTGAACTCCAGTTTCACACGGGGAATAGGTGCCCGCCGCTCCACGGATCGCATCGAGGCCAACGCCCGAGTGCGCAAGGCCCTGGCCGAGATGGCCCAGAGCGTCGATTTGGACAAGACCGAGGTCATTGAGGACGCAGACCTCATTTACCCGGAGCTGAGCATGAGCTACTTTGTTGCCATCATTGTGGAGTCGTTCGGAATGCTGCACAAGGTGCCGGACTCCCTGGAGACGCTGCGCGTCCAAATCCAAACGGAGTTGCTCAACGTGGTGCGGCACACAACGCATCAACTGTCTCAGAGTGGAGCAACGGCCGAGGCTAATCCGCTGCTAACACTGCTGGAGATCATATTCAAGCAGTTCAAGGCCATCGCCAAGACGCATACCTTGCTGCTGAAGAACTATTTGTCGGTGGGCCAGAAGTACTCGGTGGTGGGACCGCAGCCCTACGATCTAACCGACTTCTGGGCCCAGGCCCAGTCTGTGGTTAGTGTTGGATATGAAAGCTCCAATGGCGTGCTCTAATTGGTGTTTATTTCAGTTGCAACTGCTGCTCACCGACTACTTGGACATACAGAATGCTGCCGCGGATGAAGGTTCCCAGACGGGGTTTTCAGAGCCCACCAGCAACATTAATTCCTATTTCCTAAGGCGCAAGGTGCCAAGGTAAGAAGGTATTCAGCCATTTACTCCAAATAACTAACGACAATTGTATCCCTAACCAGCACGAAGCGCTCGATGTTCAAGTTTGACAAGTCCTCCCATGTTGGCGCGAGCAGCAACAGCGACTCCTTCAAGGAGCATCGTCGCAATGCCTCGGATGCCTCCGTGGACGATAATCTGGGCGCCCAGCTGGGGGGCAGTGGCAAGGGCTCAACCAGCGGACTCTTCCCGCATGAGAAGAAGCAACGCGAGAAGCTACTGATCTGCACGCCCGATCAAAGTATCATAACCAAAGTGTATCTACCTCTAATGGGATATATCAAGGAGATAGAGAATTTTATGAAGTGCAAGCCAGGGTGAGATAATAGTCCCCGTGGCTGGTTCAATGTTTTCACATTTTCCCTTACTTCCAGGCAACCCTGCAGTCTACATGACTTTTTAGACAACTACATTAAGGACACATTCCTATCCAAGGGTCACAACCGCAACCTGCAGCTGACGATAGAGTCGCTGTCGAAGAATCAAGATGCCTGGCGTACTATTATCAGTCCTGAGGAAATAAAGGCTCTCAACCTGAGCAGGCCTTTGCTGCAGTCCACTGTGATGGTTGAACGGAGACTGATGGAGACCAAGAAGCTTATTCAAGACCTGCCGTGTTACTCTGAGGACCTTCTTAAAATGGTGTGTGCTCTGCTCAAGGCCTACCGAGAGATTTGTCAGGCGGCCTACCGCGGAATCGTGCAGCCAGATTCGGAGGACAAAAGGATTTACAGTGTGGCCTGGCTAAAAGACGAAGATATTAGCAGATTTTTAAAGTAAGTGTGGGATTACCAATGTATATACATATTCGAATTTTTCATCTTTTTCAATGTTTAGAACGCTCCCCAACTGGACGGACCTTAAGACCTCGAGTCAGAAGTCGCGTCATAACCGAAAGCTTCATCGTGGAAGCTTCGAGCCGTCGGAGGAGGAGAGTCCGTTGCAGGTGCAGCAGCGAAACATTCGCGAGGCCGAGATGCTCACAAGTAACTTGGGTGAGGGCGGAATCACCCAGCAGGAGATTCTGGTCGAAATCAGTGTGCTCAAGGAGCTGGCCATTCTACAGGAAAGCATGGAGTGGTTCTCGTGCCGGGTATCTGAGTTCGCCAACGACTTGCGCCGGCCTTTGGTCAACGGTCTGAATGCAGCTTCCGCTGAGTGCAGCGCCGACATCGCCGTAAAGGATGGCACGATCAAGGTGATGACTAACCTGGCTTTAGAGTTCGATGAGCTGGCAAATACCTGTCTGCTGGTGCTGCATCTGGAGGTGCGCGTGCAATGCTTCCACTACCTTCGCTCGAAGTCGAGTGTCAGGACCAACAGCTATGTGGGCTCCAAGGACGACATCCTGGAGCCTGATCGCCAGGTGCAACTCCTAACTAAACGACTCTCTGAAATGGATGAGGCGTTTAGCGCCACTTTGCATCCGCGGAAGACCAGGGTAAAATACATATTTCCCCGTAGTTTAATGCAACCCTAACATTTTATTTCCTCTAGTACATTTTTGAGGGGCTGGCGCACTTGGCGTCTCGCATTCTCATACAGGCCTCCAACTATCTGGAGCACATCGATCAAATAACAGTGCAACGCATGTGCAGAAACTCGATCGCTCTGCAGCAGACGCTGAGTAACATAACTGCCTCCAGGGAAGTGGCTTTGGATCAGGCCAAACACTTCTATGAATTGCTTTGCATGGAGCCCGACGTAAGAATAATGGCCTCACTCGCTTATTTTGCCTTTTTACTTATATGATTGTTTACCAACAGGAAATACTCAATGCGTTGTTGGAGCGGGGCACTCAGTTCTCGGAGATGCAGTTGCTCAATGCCCTTCAACTTTCCTGCAAGTCCTTTGGCATAACCGACGCAAATCTCTTGGCTTCCTATCAGCAAAAGCTCTCGGACATACTGGGCGCCAAGCCCTCCAAAGGCGTTGTTGTGTAGTTATCGTTGCAGCCGGCGGAGAAACCCCTTTTAATATCCATACGTTTGTGTACATCGGCATTAGGTGGAAGTGCAAATTGTGTGTTAGTGTTAAGCTCAAAATGATTATGAATGTTCTGAACATGTTTGGCGAGCACTTGGTGTTGCGATGCAGTCGTTTATACAGATACAATACATATTCTAAAGTTCATTAACAGTACTTTAATGGCTTAAACACAATAAATGAGAATTTAACAACGATGTTTTATATCCTTTTTCTTTAAATGGTGCAATTGGACTTCACGTCAGCTGTCATTGAATGGTGGATGGGCTCTGTGGGAATTAAAGTTTCACATTTGTCAAATATCTCAACTGTTACCAAGGACAGCTGACCACTTTTGTTGGCCAAAGCCCAGTTTTGAAACGTCGTTAAAACCAAAAAATATTCAGGGTATTCCCTAAACTGATGAATTCTTGCATTTTGGTAAGTTGTTCCATACAAAGTCGGCTATCAAAAATTTCAGCATTGAAAAATTTTGTTTAATCGCTGAAATCCAGAGTTATAACATTTTAGTATCACCAGTACGCAATACTTACTTTAAAATCAAATTTGAAAAACAATTTTAGACAGTAACTAACAATAAAAAATTTAATTTTACATGTTTTAAGTTCCGTGAAACTTTTAAACAAATAACAGCTGTTTAAAAATTCAACAAGAACCATTTTGGGTCGTCCCCCTCAATTGCTGAAATTTTCTGTTGGATTTTCAACAATTCAGCAATTCAACAGGGAAAACTGCGATTATTTGAGGATGTATTAACATAAAACCACTGATCACGACCATTTGAATTGAACAAGTAATTAATTTTGGCCAACAAAAGTGGTCAAATGCCCCATAGTGCAACAGATGGATCTGTGGGAAGAGGGTATTATGAATGAACAAGTAGATGAGGGAAAGTCAGGGGTTTTGTCTGAACAGACTTTAAAGAATGCTCTACAGAATAAATGTTTAATGATACTTATTTAAGTAGCAAATTGGTCTTGTATTATTATTATTATATTACAAGTTTATAGGAAACAAATAAAATTTTAAAAAACATCGATACACAGCAAACATTGGGGTAACCGATGCCAACATCGTTGTTATCGATATATCTCCAAGAAAAAGCCGCAAGAAAGTATTCAATCTTCATTTAATTAATTAATAACTAAAATGTCGGAACCAGTTGAAAGCTCAGAAGTAAAGTCGCCATCGTACGACTTGTCAAAGTTCCGGCTGAAGCGGATATTGACCAATAACAGCGTCAGAAAGAGTATATCACTCCTCGGTACTTTTCCGGACCTAGGAACGGAGGATGCCATTGTTGTCTTTGAGAAGAATGGTAATAAATAAATAATATACTAGTGTTGTATATATTATATATTATTTCCTACAGCCTACCGGGAGAGCGACGTGGCCACCGAATCGCCATCTGAGGATTCGGAGTCTCCAAAGAAACCAAGTTATTTTAGCGCGGATCTGAAGGTGGACACTGAGTTTGTCAATAACATTTACGGCAGTTTTCAGGTTGTGCCCAGCAGAGATCTATGCGGCAAGTATTATTAGTAATAAACCATACCCTAATAAATATGACAATCGCCCATTTTACAGGAGTCAAGAGCACAGTGATTTATCCCGCCACCGAGAAGCACATCGAGAAATATTCCGTGTGCCAGAAGTATCTCATTCGGGAGACTCCTGATCTCTACCAAAAGATAACACTTCCATATCTCACCTCAAGCCAGTTTTCCCTAGAGTGGGTCTACAACATTCTGGAGCACAAACAGGAGAAGGAACGCATCGTATTTGAGGACAAGGATCCGGAGACTGGCTTCATACTGCTGCCCGATCTCAAATGGGACGGACGCAATATTGAAACCCTCTACCTGCTGGGCATTGTTCACAAGCATGACATTAAATCGCTGCGGGACTTAAACGGAAGCCACCTTGATCTGCTGCGAAACCTACGACAGTCGTCGAAGGACGCAATCCTCAAGCGCTACGGCGTCAATCCCAACCAGCTTCGCATGTACTTCCACTACCAGCCGTCCTTCTATCACCTGCATGTGCACATAAATCCGGTTCGGAACGATGCCCCGGGCATTTGGTGCGAGAAGTCTCACATGCTGGACACGGTGATTAACAACCTGGAACTCATGCCAGACTACTACCAGAGAGCCACCTTGCCGTTTGTCCTGTACGAGGGCAACAAGCTGTTGGATCTGTACGAGCACGAGCAGCCGATTCGAGTGGTGCCAGTATTGACTGATGACAAGGAGCAGCCCGAAAAAGGGTCCACGGATGCCGAACCAGCCGATGGCTTCAGCGATGATGAGCAGGAGGAGAGGCAGTGCAAACGCATTAAGCTGGCCACTCCGGAGCCCAAAGAGGTCGAAGCTACTGTTCAGGCGTGTGCTTAAGCTTACTTTCCATAAGATAAAAGGTGAAGAAATGCAAGAGGATCCTACCCAAAAAAGGGGTATTGCTTAACGATAGAGGTAAAATAATTGAACCTATCAATATTCATTGAAATCAAAATAAAGTATGCAACAAATTTTAATCTATGGGTATTCTTTTAATATTTTGAACAGGAATACATGTTATCTTTCACTTGTGAGCCGACCGCTGTCGTAGCTGCTCGTATAGCGGCAAAGAACTGACTAAGCTATTCTAGTTTATTGCACCTATAAAACCTTTGAATTTGGTTCTCCACTTAATTATTTTTAAATTTTAGTTTCTAATTCATTCTTTTATCGTCAAATGTAGGTCTACAGTTAAGACTCTAATCATAATTACATGCATATTTACGAAGAAAATAATTCTAATAGTGTGTTTAGACTGGGCGAATCATTGACATGCGACGCAAAGTAGAATGTTCTGATTTTTTATCCATAGGAACTCTGTGGATAGAAAAAGAGAAAATTTTCTCGAATGTTTGACGAAGGTTCGAAAATTTACTAGAAAATGTAAAGGAATACAAAAGTAACGCCCGACTTTTATGTCATTTTTCTTCAAATTCGTATGGTTTAAGGCCGCATCTATAACCGACGTAGATTAGAAAAAATTAAGGAAAAACACTTTATCATTTGTCAGCTGGTCGCCATCTTTATTTATTTAATAATAGTGTAGCTATGTCTGTTGTGTATTATTTTTGTTGCATGCTCTGCTTGTGTTTATATAGTTTTTTAGTTAAATAATTTATTTATTATTTTTCGTGGCCTTGCGTATTTGTTTATATTTGTAATACATTTAAATACATTCCACTTCGATTTTAGGTTTTGTTCTCGTCACGGCATGGCTATGTTACCAAATTTGATATAGTTCTAGAAAAAAGTCATCTTTGTAATGGCGCACAGATATTTTTGTTCAAAATCTGAGGGTGTCTGGATTTTCATATTCGAAGCTTGTCTAGCCTTTGGAGCCGCGAATTCCATTCGTGCTCGTTCCAGATTTATGCTAGCGACTGCTTGGTTTTTATAAGCTCGTTAGCTGCGTGTTCTTTAAAGTGTGTGTTGAAAGGTGGATCGATACTTTAATTATGACATGGAGATTAAGGTCAAAATTATTATTTTTAATTTTGTCAAAATAACTATACGACCAACAATACATTTTAGGGGAGCATACTACGAGTCGTCTTTAACCGTAAAATATTTTGTACATCTTGCGGTTACGTTTTCTGACTTTCTGTGTTATCGAAATACACAATTAATGTTTTATATATAGTTTCTAAGACCCCAATTGCCGTTAAAGGACCTCAGAAACCTGCTTGTTTCTGCAATTTTTCGTTTTTTTCGTATTCATGCGAGTCGACCCACCCTCTTGTGTGGTGTGTGTGTCCTATGTCATCGAATTCTTTAGCCTGGAAGCCTGGTTCAACATTGTTTATGGTACATACATACATAAATATTATTTCAAATACATACATACATATACATATATATAGGTATATATATAAAAATAACAAATAATAGTAGTAATAAAATCGTAATGTGTAATTTCCCAATATAATAAAAACAATACGCGCCGGCCTGCCCTGAATACTAAGCTGATACTTTCAATTGCTCGTCGTGCCCGACTGTTCGCCCTCGACGTCCACATCTGTGTGCTGTTGCCCCTGCGGCACATACATCACGGCAGTGCCCTGCTGGTCTGCATCCGAGGATATCGACCAGTTGCGTTCCAGCTGCTCCAGGGCCGCCATTGTCGCCGTGGTGGTCACCCCCACTCCGGAGCTCTCCGCCCCGGCACCGTCGCTCATAACGCCCGCTTTCAGCGTCTCCTCCAACAGTACCTGGATCTTGTCCTGATCGTCTAGGTGGACGAAGCCCAGGCGCACCAGTTCGCTGGTGAGATCCGCCGCCGTATCGTTCTCGTTCACCTGGCACGTCAGTTGGCGGTTCATTTTGTCGTCCATGCGCAGCAGTATTGTCATGGTTATGTCATTGCTATCCTCCTTGATTTTCACGCTGCACATCATGTTGACAATGCGCCGCGATTCCGTGTCCACCGGCTCTGGCGTGGCCGATTTCACGGAGTCCGCCCGCTCCGGGGAGGCTGCACGCGAGCGGAAATTGGGCGGCTTCTTGCCGCTGTACGTAATTAGCGGATACACACCGTACTTCACGTCCTCGACGAACTTCTCCAGTTTGTCAGCGCCCGAAACGTCTGCCAGTCGGTACTGCCGTTCCTGGCCACCGGCGAGCCGTAGCTGTGCCATAACCACGTCCGGCTGGTAATAGCGCTGCATCAGGCCGTCGAAGGCGGTTTCCGAAAACATGGTGCGGTTGGCGGGCGAGAAGACCAGACAATGGGCAGTCAGCAGTTTAAGGGAGTGCACCTACGGGAGCAACAAATGATATTATAACACACTCATTTTGTTCATGGGATTACATTTAGTCAGGTGTCTTTTGAAGGAAAGAACCACTATCAATGTATATTTCATTATTAAATTCCAAAGGGGATGATAAAAATGCAATTCTCGTAATTGGCGAATGTATTCTTTTTTCTGGTAAATGAACGTAATACCTACTATTAAATCATTGGTATTATATTTTTTATTTATTTACAAGTTACAAAAATGTTTACCCATTCATCAATGACATTAAAGACTATTTGTTAATGATCGATTCAAATAGGTATTTGTGAGTTCAAGAAGTATGTCTATCAATAAGTTGTAAATATAAATCTGTGAGTTAAGCAGGAACTTTAGTAGTATTATCTGTAATGGTAGGCTTTTGGGTTCGACGTTTAGGCAAATTCACATGCGAGCTAGTCTCTTAGTTTTAAAGCTATCGCGATGAAACTTTCCCAAAAGTCTTATTTCTACTGCAAATAGTACATATATCGGAACGAGCCGGATCGGACCTCTAATTCTTATGGCTCTCATAGGAATATTCAAAGATTATACGTTTTTTGTTATGAAGTAGGCATTTTGATTTCTGACATTTTAAAAAGCAAATCTAAATCTATACATCTGCTATTTCTGATCGGGACCCATCGAGATAAAGCTGTTGAAGCTCTTAAAGAAGGTAAATATTTGAACTGCAAGGGTATACAAACTTCGGCCTGTTAACTTCCTTTCTTGTTTTAATTGTTTTATCTCTTACCATTTATTTTTTATCGATTTTTTTGGAATAAAACTATGTTTTGGAAATATTTGGTTTTATACCACTTTAAAACCTAGCCTAATTTCAAAGTTTAATTTAAGAATTTTTAAAAGACGATGTTAAGATGTTAAATAAAAAAAATTCTGTAAGCGGTTTCTATAAAAAATAAATGGTAGGAAACAAAAAAAAGTTTCGATTTGACAAAAATTTGACCAGTTTATTATATACATAGCAACAATCGTCAAATTATTGTCAAAATAACAAAAACTAATCCATATTTTTTGAAATATATAAGCAAATAAATCTAAAAGTAACTTTTTAATAACACTTCTTGAGATTAATTTTTAATTTAACAGGAAAGATCCGCAAGGGTAATGTACTTTAGCCTGTCAATGCAGCTTCCTTTTTCGTTTTTGTACACCATTAAATGAAAATTTTGGGAAAAATTTATAAATTTAAGAAATAAACAATAATTGGGTAAGAAAGAAGCACACAGCTTAGTTTCACTTCCGCAAGATGTGTTTAAGAATTAAATTACAAGGTCTTCTCTTCAAAGCAGTTTCCATGCGGGACTTCAATTGAGAACATGATGACAATTGGTTTGCCGGTCTACTCACCTCGAAAAGCAATGGGTGAAAGAGCAGATCATTGGCGCTCGGCCGGTCCTGCGGCTGCGGATTCAGACACTTTCGTATCAGGTCGCGCTGCAGATCGTTCTCCAGGCTGAAGATTGTGCGCTGGATGGTCTCCTCGTTGATGGCAGTCGACTCGCTATTGCTGGGCTGGATCTCCAGGGCGGCCATCTCCAGGGCGCACATCCCGAAGGCGTAGATGTCGAGGGCTGCGGTCAACTGGTCGGCGGCTCCGTACTCGGGCGCCTGAAAGTAGTGGGCACCCCGCTCGCGCTCCCTTTCCCGCTCCCGTCCCCTTCGAACGCTGTAGTGGACCGCATCCGGTACCACCGAGCCGATCTTGACCAGGCCGTTGTGCTGGATGAAGATACTATCACAGGTTAAGTTGCCGTGGATGATGGGCGGCGAGCAGGAATGCAAATAACTGAGCGCGGACAGGATCTGGGTGCACCACCGACGCCACGACTCGAGCGGTAGCCGCTTGGCGTTGCGCTTCGTGCGCTTGAGGAACTGTTTCAGCGAACCACTCGACATGTACTCGGTGATGAAGACGACGCGAGGTCGCTCGGCCTGCTGCGTGTCCGTCCAGTAGCGGTGGAACTTGACGATGTTCTGGTGGTCCAGCTGCAGCAGGTTGTCGAACACCTGTCGCATCTTCTCCTCCTGCGACTTCAGCTCCTGGAGACTGGCATATTGCACCTCGTTCCACACGACCTCCACGCCCTCCTCGGTGTCCATGGCCAGATGGACGCAGTCGATCCCGGGCACGTCGCGTTGGTCCACCTCCTCGCGCCTCTTCAGCCACCGTCCGCAGGGCGACTCCTCGAGGATCTCGCTTTCGTCCTCAGAATCATCCCCGGATTCGCGCGGCGACGAGTCCAGATTGACGCCCTCACTGCCCGCGACGACGCCAACAGAGACGCCGACGCCGACCGCAACGCCGCTGCCAGCATCAGCTGTTGAGGCACCAACTATGTGCGGGGGCTGCTGCGTCGACAGCGACGCCGGCGTCGCTGCTGGGCAGGATGCGTTCGCTGGGGCGGGCGCCAAGGGGGGTGGTGCTGGGTCGGTTCATCCGATATTGCGCTAACGCTGTTGCCGGCATTCGCTTGGCTATTTGACATTAGGGTGCGGTCACCGACGCGTCTGCGGCTGTTGAGCAGTTCTGTTCCAGTTCCAGAAGGCTTCGTCTTCGTCTGCGGTTTCCAGTGTTTACTCTCTTTGTGCCTCCAAGTTGGCCTGCGTACGCTTACGCTCGCTTTTCGTGGTATCCACTGCGGGGTCCGGGCAACGAGCTACATCCGCTGATGCTCCTCTGTCGCTGCCTCTGCCCACTCACTGGCGCACACATACACATACACATACACAGGCACCACCTCCTCTGCACCCCTCGCCCAGTAAACACTCGGTTGCGACGGCTGGCGACTGCTGTGACGTTTTCTCGGCGCCTTCGACGGCTCCAATCCTCGACTGCGGCGCGAACGGCGATCTGTTGGTTGCACTTTCTGGCCTGACACGCTGCCGATTCGTTTATTTAGGCGTTTTTTTCACGCTAAAAGACCCATGAAATGTGAGCAAATCGATGCCTCTGGCCTATCGATAGTCACCCTCTCTTATCGTTGGGCCAGCGCAGCAGTGCCGTCTGGTATCGATAGTCACGAGGAAACGCAAAAGTAGCTAAAAAAGGCTGTATTTGTTTAGCGCTTTTAGCAAACATGTAGGGGATTCCCTAAACTGTTGAACATAAAAGATTCGTTTTTAATATTAGTTTTTATTTACGAATTGAACAACATATTCTGATTTTTTTGCCATCGATTTGATTTGATCTCAAGTCATCGTTCCGATTTTCACTGTCAAGTGGCACCCGAAAACTATTGCATAAAAGAGCCCGTCAAAGTCCGTCAAAATTGGATGAGGGACCAACTGGATTTTCTCTCTAAAAAAATAGCTAGTTTCAGTGTGAAACAGTCAAATGGCCGACACCACAAGTCGTTTCGATAGCTTATCAATGGTACCGATAGCCGCTTGCCATCTGTGCCGGCAGCTCTTGAAAATTTCCCAAGAAAGTCGCAGAATTAGGTGCATTCCCGCAACAACTGACCGATCATGGATAGCATAATTGGACGCAGCCAGTTCGTCTCGGAGACGGCCAATCTCTTCACAGACGAGAAGACGGCCACGGCGAGGGCTAAGGTAGAATATTCTCCCCACTGGGCCAAGCCGCCCGAGTTGACTGCATTGTATTTTCGGTTTCTCCATTCAGGTGGTCGAGTGGTGCAATGAACTGGCCGTCGCATCGGCGTCGGCCAAATGCGAACTGCTGGTCAAGGTGCAGGAGATTGTCCTTGGATCCTGCGTGGAGCTGGCCGAGGAGTTCCTAGAGCCGGTGCTATCTCTGGCCCACGACCCGAACATGGAGGTGCGCAGGCAGGTGGTCGCCTTCGTGGAGCAAGTGTGGTAGGTAGCCAGCATATAGGTAGAAGTATGTCCTCTTTTCAACGCATCCCTCCCATTTATAGCAAAGTGAAGGTTGAGCTACTGCCCCATGTCATCAACATCGTGTCCATGCTGCTGAGGGACAACTCGGCCCAGGTGATCAAGCGAGTGATTCAGGCCTGCGGAAGCATCTACAAAAATGGACTGCAGCACTTGTGCAACCTCATGGAGCCGGGTGACAGCGCAGAGCAGGCGTGGAACATCCTTAGTCTAATTAAGGCCCAGATACTGGACATGATAGACAACGAAAACGACGGCATACGCACAAATGCCATCAAGTTTCTTGAGGGCGTCGTTGTGCTGCAGAGCTTTGCGGACGAGGACAGCCTCAAAAGGGATGGAGACTTCTCGCTGGGCGATGTCCCCGATCACTGCAAACTCTTCCGCCGCCAAAAGTTGCAGGAGGAGGGCCACAACATATTCGACATACTGCTCCAGTTCCATGGCACCACACATATTTCCTCGGTAAACCTGATTGCCTGTACAAGCAGCCTCTGCACGGTCGCCAAAATGCGGCCTGTGTTTATGGGCGCCGTGGTGGATGCCTTCAAGCAGTTGAATGCCAACCTGCCGCCCACCCTCACCGACTCTCAGGTGAGCTCGGTGCGCAAGAGTCTCAAGATGCAGCTGCAGACATTGCTGAAGAACCGCGGGGCCTTCGAGTTCTCCGGAAGCATCCGAGGCATGTTGGTGGACCTGGGCTCTTCGACAAATGAGATCCAGAAGCTAATACCCAAGATGGACAAACAGGAGATGGCTCGGCGGCAAAAGCGCATCCTCGAAAATGCCGCCCAAAGTCTCGCGAAGAGAGCTCGTTTGGCCAGCGAACAGCAGGAGCAGCAGCGGCGGGAGATGGAACTGGACACCGAGGAGCTGGAGCGGCAGAAGCAAAAGTCTACTCGAGTGAACGAAAAGTTTCTGGCCGAGCATCTCCGCAATCCCGAAACGGTGGTCGGTTTGGTGGTGGAGTTCCTACCAAGCCTGCCCACCGAGGTGCCGCAGAAGTTTCTCGAGGAGTACACGCCCATTCGCGAAATGTCCATCCAACAGCAAGTGAGTAATATCTCCAGAATGTTCGGAGAGCAGCTTTCGGAGAAGCGCCTCGGGCCAGGAGCCGCAACCTTCAGTAGGGAGCCTCCAATGAGGGTCAAGAAAGTGCAAGCCAATGAGTCAGCATCGACTCCTATGGATGTGGACGATGAAGCAGTCCAAAAACTGAGTGAAGAAGAGTTGCAACGCAAGGAGGAGGCCACTAAGAAGCTGCGCGAGACCATGGAGCGAGCCAAGGGCGAGCAGACTGTGATTGAAAAGATGAAGGAGCGCGCCAAGACGCTGAAACTGCAGGAGATCACCAAGCCCCTGCCACGCAATCTCAAAGAAAAGTTCCTGACAGAAGCAGTGCGTCGCATTCTCAACTCGGAGCGGCAGTGTATCAAGGGAGGTGTGTCGTCTAGGCGCCGGAAGCTGGTCACCGTGATTGCGGCCACCTTTCCGGACAACGTGCGTTACGGCATTATGGAGTTCATCCTGGAGGATGTGAAGCAACGCATTGACTTGGCTTTCTCGTGGCTCTTTGAGGAGTACTCCTTGTTGCAAGGATTCACAAGGCACACCTACGTGAAGACCGAGAATCGACCCGATCACGCTTACAACGAGTTACTGAACAAGCTCATCGTTGGCATCGGCGAGCGTTGCGAACACAAGGAAAAGATTATACTGATCCGTCGCGTCTATCTGGAGGCCCCAATTCTTCCGGAGGTTTCAATAGGCCATTTGGTTCAGCTTAGCCTGGACGACGAGTTTTCCCAGCACGGCTTGGAACTGATCAAGGATCTTGCAGTTCTCAGACCGCCACGAAAGAATCGGTTTGTGCGAGCGCTGCTTAACTTTTCCGTGCACGAGCGAGCTGACCTGCGGGACAGGGCACTGGCCCATCTTGTCAGTCTGTACCATGTGCACAAAATCCTTCCAGCGCGCATAGACGAATTCGCATTGGAGTGGCTCAAATTCGTGGAGCAAGAGTCTCCACCGGCCGCTGTTTTCTCGCAGGACTTTGGTCGACCAACAGCGGAGTCCGCCTGGAGGGAGGATACGGCAAAGGTGTGTCTTGGTTTGGCCTTTACCCTGCTGCCCTACAAGCCGGAAGGTAATACTGAAATTTTTATAACGCTAACTAACGTATACTAACCTTCTTTTGTTCCCCTAGTTTATGTGGAGCAAATTTGCCAAGTGTTCGTGTCTACCTCCGCCGAACTGAAGCGCACAATCCTGCGTAGCCTGGATAATCCCATCAAGAAGCTGGGTGTGGAAAACCCCACAATTCTGCAACTGATCGAGGACTGCCCAAAGGGCATGGAGACCTTGGTGATCCGCATCATCTACATACTGACAGAGCGGGTGCCATCCCCACATGAGGACCTGGTACGGCGGGTTAGGGATCTCTACCAGAACAAGGTCAAAGATGTGCGAGTGATGATACCCGTACTGAGCGGTCTGTCCCGCTCCGAGCTCATCGCCGTTCTGCCTAAGCTGATAAAACTTAACCCCGCTGTGGTGAAGGAGGTTTTCAATCGTTTGCTTGGCATTGGCGCCGAGTTCGCTCATCAGACAATGGCCCTGTCTCCTACGGACATTCTGGTGGCCTTGCACACCATTGACCCGAATGTCTGTGACCTTAAGGCCATTGTCAAGGCAACATCGCTGTGCCTGGCCGAAAGGGATTTGTACACCCAGGAGGTGCTCATGGCAGTGCTGCAGCAGCTGGTGGAGGTAATCCCACTCCCCACTCTGATGATGCGCACAACCATCCAGAGTCTGACTCTGTATCCGCGCCTAGCGAACTTTGTAATGAACCTGCTGCAGCGCCTGATCATGAAGCAGGTCTGGCGGCAAAAGGTGATTTGGGAGGGTTTTCTGAAGACCGTGCAGCGCCTGAAGCCGCAGTCCATGCCGATCCTGCTGCACCTTCCACCCGCCCAACTGGTGGACGCACTGCAGCAGTGCCCTGACTTGAGGCCAGCTTTGTCGGAATACGCGGAGAGCATGCAGGACGAGCCCATGAACGGCAGCGGCATCACCCAGCAGGTCCTGGACATTATCTCCGGCAAGTCGGTGGATGTGTTCGTCACGGTAACTATGAAACGTTCATTAATTGTACACCATATCTGTGGTTTTCTCTGTTTTTATACAAATATATCTCCTTCTCAGGACGAAAGTGGCGGCTACATCAGCGCCGAGCACATCAAAAAGGAGGTGCAGGATCCATCGGAAATCGGCGTTATATCCACAGTGCCCGTGCTGACGTCTCTAGTGCCACTGCCTGTTCCCCCGCCCAGCGCCAGTGATCTAAACCAACCTCTGCCGCCTGGAGAGGACTAGCTGCATTGTTTTGTTTGTCCATAATCATCTCCAATTTACTCAATAAGACAAAGCTTATATTTGCAAATGTTCTGAGCTGAAATTTAATCAATTTCCTTGCGGGTTTTAATACTAACCCCGTTTCAGAAGAAGATCTTCCAGGGGCAGCGGCTCTCAATGCCAATTGTATAAATGTATATGGGCACTTCCATAATGGGAAAGTTCATTCAACACCAGAAATTAGCGAATTCTGATAGAATATTAGAATGTTGTTCAAACATGTCGCTATGAAATGGTTTTGGTTTTACTCAAATATTGGTTGCCTTTTTATACCCTTGCAGAGGGTATTATGATTTCAGTCAGAAGTTAGCAACGCAATGAAGGAGACGTTTCGACCCCATAAAGTATATATATTCTTGATCAGCATCACTAGACTAGTCTGTCCGTCAGTTTCTACGCAAACTAGCCTCTCAGTTTTTGAGCTATCGGGATGAAACTTTCCCTGAAGTCTTCTTTCTATTGCAGGTAGTATATATGTCGGAACCGACCGGATTAGACAACTATATCTCTTATAGCTCCCATAGGAAGGAAACGTTAAAAAAATTCTAGCTTCGGTGTTTTTTTAAATATTACCTTCTACTCTTGGGAATATTATTTTAAAATTTTAAGGAATCGGATCAGTATATCATATAGGTGCCATAGGAACGGCCGAAAAATTAAATGGAAATTAATAGGAAAAAAATTATATCTTTGTTAATTTTTATTACATTCTCTTCTATTTTGGGATATGACTATTTTTTAATATTTCCGAATTTCGATTTTAGTTTTAAAAAGATCGAACTACTATAACATATAGCTGCCATAGAAACGATCGAAAAATTAATGTGAAATAATAGGAAATTTAACATTTTGGCGATTTATAAATTAATATAACGATCTGCAAGGGTATATCAGCTTCGGCTTGCCGAAGCTAGCTTCGTTCAGGATCCAACTAACTAGAAACTAATATGGCGGCAAAATCATGTGAAAATATGTTTTTTTTTTTTCAAGTTTCAAGATTTTTGCACTTTTTGGTTGAATGTATGCGTTATTATTCTTTATTTTATAAAGTTAATATTCTTTAGTGGTTTATTTCACATTCACTAACAACTTAAAAGAAAACCCAAACTTGTTTTAAACAAAGTATCATACTTTTACATTAACATACATACATACATCGAAAGGCATTCTGAGGATTTATGATTTAGACTGATACTTCGGCTTCCATTTTCTCCCCAGCCAGAGCAGCTAAAATATTTCTGGCGGTGATTCTGGACATTTCCTTACGTGTCTCGATGTCAGCACTGCCAATATGTGGAAGGATAACCACATTGTCCAGTTTAAGAAGCGGATCGTCCAGCGGCAGTGGCTCCGGCGACGTGACATCCAGACCTGCGGCCAGAATTCTGTTGGTCTTCAGTGCCTCGTACAAGGCCTTCTGGTCTACAACGCCACCACGAGCAGTGTTGATAAGAATGCAGTTGGACTTCATCTTCTGGAAGGCCGCTTCATTAAAGATCTCCTTGGTCTCCGGGGTTAGGGCGCAGCAGACTACGATAAAGTCCGAGTTGCTGAGCATCTCGTCAAAGTCCACGTGCCGGGCACTCACAGCTGCCGCCTCCTGAGGTCGTGGCGAACGCGTTGTGTAGGTTATCTCCGCCGGCTTGAAGGGCACAATGCGAGCCGCTATCTCTTGGCCGATGCGTCCAAAGCCGAGTAAGCCCACTCGGGAGCCCTTCAGTCCCTGGCCGCACATCCACATGGGGGCCCACGACTTCCAGCCACCGTTGTACACCTGCTTGTTGGCCTCAAACAGCCGCCTGTTGGTGGCCAGGAGCAGGGCGAGCGTCAGTTCCGCCGTGGCATCTGTCAGCACGTCCGGGGTGAAGCCCACGCGAATGCCACGTCTCCTGCACTCGCCCACATCGATGTGGTCGTAGCCCACGGAAATTGTGGCCACACACTTGAGCTGAGGACCTGCAGCATCCAGGACTTCCTTGTCGATCTTGTCCGCTAGGGCGCAGTAAAGGGCTTCTTTTCCGGCAATCTCGCGGATCAGCTCGGAGCGGGGCACCGGAAAAGTCTCAGACCAAGTGCTCACCTGGCAGCTGAGAAATGTCATGGATGTTAAATTAGTGCGTATGCTAATTAGCCGGCACCAACAAAAACAAACCTCTTGCGCAGCAACTCCAGTCCGCTGTCGTCCACATCTGGTCGTGTCACATATACACTTGGCTGCGAGCTCATCCTTCGAGATATCTGTCCTGGTAGCAATAGGTTTCTGACTTGACCGAACGGCAACCGCGGGGGCATTGATTCAAATTTCTTTTTTTTTTGGCTTTGTTTTCAGCAATGCTTGCTGATAGTGATGGTCGCACGACGTGTGCATATGACCAGATACGATATATCGGGATAGTATCGCATGGATGCTTCCCGAACAGCGGGGTTGGCCGGTGGCAAATCCACGAATTACCTTTCTACATGGATATAATTAACGTTAAATAAAAATTACCTACAAGTTGATTTGTGCTTCATTAATAAATTTTGCAACTTCTCTATAAAAAAGCTGCTCTTTTGATAAAATGAGATCTGAAATATTAAAGAAACGATTAAAGATTTTATATTTTCTTCTGATCAAGATATGTCTTTGGCAGTTAAAAATTTGGTGATTAGCATCGTCGATCAGATTACATAAGGCACAAAGATTGCTGTCAATTGCCTTAATACGAAACAGAAAACAATTGTCATATGTAGACTCAGTCATTAATCTATTAATCAATTTAATGTCTTTTGCCTTCCATTTAAGTTTTATGTGCCACGGAATAATTGATAATGTAGGATAAGTCTTCGCAAAGATGCCTCCATCCTCCCTTGCTAATCTTTCGTACTCAGATCCCCATTCTTTCCAAATCTCTTGATTTAGCAATCTTTTAGCTTCACCTATACTAAGTTTGTAATCAATATCAGTGCCATCATAAACGGCCTGTTTAGCTAAAAAATCAGCCTTTTCGTTTAAGTCTAGAGACATATGACCAGGTATCCACTGCAGGTAGCATGAGGATATACACGAAATACTAAGAAGATTATGAATATCAGATACTGTGTTATTATCACAGTTTTTGTTACGTAGTACCATAAGCGCGCCCTTACTATCTGTAAGTATGGCCACCTTCCTCCAGTTAGATTTAATAGCTAAGATACAACCTTGTTTAATTGCTAAGAGTTCAGCCTGAACCGAGCTCATTCTATTCTCTATTTTGTACATTTCATTACTCCTATCACAGATAGCGGCTATGCCGAGTCCTGTGCACGAGCTTGTGACAGAGGCATCCGTGGATATGATATTGTAATCATTCTGCCTGAAATAACTGATCAATTCACTGTATCTACCTTTGGCCTCCTCTTTTGCAATATCCTTTTTGTTGTTAGACGAAAAATTTAGTTGGATAACAATATTCTTAAAATACGTATAATGATCTGCAATTTGTATTCTGTCAATGATAAGTTTGAGTGAATCATAGACTACCTTATAGCTGGTTTTAATATTAGAATTAATAATTGTATTAAATCTGTTAACATCGATTGTTTTAAGCTTAATGAGTTCCTTAGCAGTCAAGATTTTAGCTCTATAACAAGGCGGGATAACACCAGCTAAAGCAAAAACCATAAATTTTGGGGTAAAAGGATTTACTCCAACACATCTTCTGAGAGATTTTGCCTGTGTAATGAACAACTGTTTACTGGAAGACTTTGTAAGATTACCATATGAGGTGAGTGCGTACTCATTCTTTGACCTAATAAAGGTCTTAAAAATGTTAGTCGCAACTTTTGGTCTTAAACCTGACTTAATTGTGGTTGCTAAGTTTAAAATTTGCATCGCATTATTATTATCACCTTTGATTTTTTTAACTTGTTCAATCTGGGAACCGTTGGACGAGATTATCCTACCGAGTAACTTTGTATTCCTCACTTGCCTAATAACTCCACTAGTTGCTTGAATGTTAAGAGTTCTACTATTTCCGTTGCACATAACTAGTGAAACGGTTTTACCTGAGTTGAAGGACATATTGATATCACTGCATAGCAGTTCGAAGTCATTGATTTTAGACTGTAAGTTATCCTCCATATCTTGAAAAAATCTCTTACTGGATAAGATGATAAAATCGTCTGCGAATTGAAAAACCTCAGTATTCCTGTCTTGTATTTGATGTAAGCGTTTCGTGTACAAATTAAAGAGAACAGGCGACAAACAACTGCCCTGCGGAATACCTCCTGTTACTGTTTTAGTGTATTTACCTAGAGTTAGTATTCTGATTTTAAAAAAGTTATGTATCCAATTGATAAAAATTGGAGGAATGTTTTCCGAAACCATAATTCTTTTGAGGAAATTCAAATTGACGCAATTGTATGCATTCTCAAGGTCAAGAATTACCATTGCCACGGACTTTTTACGTGATTTGTATAGCTCACACGAGTTTAAAATATCGTTCAGACACATAGCAGCTGATCTGTTTTTCCTATAAGAGAAACACCTAGCAGGCAAAATGTACTCACTTTCAATAAATTCACACAACCTTTCCTTAATCATTTTATTTATCGTTTTGGCAAAAACAGATATAAGGGAAATGGGTCTGAAGTTCTTGTAATCCGTAAGGTCCTTATCTTTTTTGGGAATAGGAATAATTTTAATTATTCTCCATTCCTCGGGAATCCTATTGTCTCTGATTAATTGATTAAAAAGCTTCAGCATGTGTGATTTACAATTAGAGTCAAGGTTGTTTAACATCTCAAAAGTTACACCGTCATGACCTCCAGCACTTTTCCTTTTTTTGCTTAAAACCAGGTTAAGATCAACTAAGTTAAATTCTTGAAAGAGTTCAGCATCCACTATTTGATCATGAAACATTGAGTTCGAAACATCCGTTGGTATTTGTTGTTCCAGATACTGCAGATAGTTTTCTTGATCAGACATATTTAATTTACAATAGTTACCAGAATCTAAATTTTTAAGAGCTTTTAGGAAGTTCCAAGCAGACTGATTAGAAGGTTGTTCATTTATTTCTTCTAATTTCTCCATATAAGAGAGACTCTTTGCAGCTTTCACAGCCTTTTTCCATACTGCCTTTACATTGACAGCTAAAATATAGTTATCCATTGAAGGGTGTCTGTTAGCTAAGGTCTGGGTAGCCTTGTATCTCTCGAAAAGAATTTTGAGGTCATTATTCCACCACAGTTTAGGAATCCTATTCTTTTTGATAATGTAAGTAGATTTTTTAATTTTTTCCTTAATGGTACTAGCTATATTAGTAATGTCACCGTTTAAAACCGTTTTTCCTAAACTGTTCAATAATCTGTTTTTTGCTATGAAGGTACTGCTTTTCATTGCTGTATCAAGAACTTCTATATTTACAGGGTGGTGATGACTACCACCAACAAATAAAGGTTTGCACTCCCAGGATGTACTGAGCCCAGCATTTGTGAAAGCTAGATCCAGCACAGAACCTTGCGCACTATCAATATGTCTTCTGTACGTAGGACTACCAGAGTTCAGGCAAACAAAACCAGCATTGTTCATTGATTCAATAAGAAATTTACCTCGAGCATTGTTAGTATAATCACCTAGGACTGTATTCCTGGCATTGAAATCACCAATAATAAAGACATTGTTTAAATTATCAGAAAAGTCAAGAATATTTAGAATTTCACACTTGAAATCATCCATGGATAATGAAGGTTCAAAATACACAGAAATGATAGTTATATTGGGGTTTAGGTTTAATGTTGTTGCAACAATAACGTCGTTATCAGTCCTGTAAGTAATGCTTTTGAATTTAATACATTTTCTAAACGCAATGGCCACACCTCCATAATTGTCGTCTCTATGTTTCTCAATTATATTGAAAAGCGCAATCTTTCTTCGATTGTTTAACACATTGTGAGAAAAAACTTCAGAAAGAACTGCAATGTCATAGTTATTGTTATTTAAGACAAACTCAATATCGTTTTTATTATAAGATAAAGATTGGACATTATGTTGATAAATTTTAATAGGCATTTAAATGATTAACGGTCGTCATATCAGATTTATTACGTGTTAGTTTTCTTTTGTCTTGCTTTAAAAATTCTATTTTATTTTGTATTTTCATGACACTTTCCAGAATTTCACTCTTACCCTCAGCAAGAGGTAAAATAAGTTGAATTAAGTCCTTAATGAGTAAAAATGTACTGTCTTTTTCTGAAATTTCCTCTCTGTCTGGATATTTAAATTTCCAGTCAGATTTCACATGTTCATAGGACTCCAAAGGAGGGAAATTGGGTTTCATAATAGGTGCAGTCGGTCTCTGCACTAATCTGGTCACATAGGAATGTTTTTTTAATGATTTGTTCACTACCTCATCTCTGTTGACTGTCACCGGAATGCTTGTCTGAGTTAATGAAGGAAAATCTTGATCATACTTATTAAAAACCTGAAATTCACTGGGCAAAGAATATTTCTCCAGGACTTCCTTCCTGGACAATTTTTGAATCGTCATTAGTTTCATTAAGTGCATCTCTTTTGCCCATACAGGGCATTCATACCTACTCCAGGAATGATGATCTGGGCTATTACACAAAATACACTTTTTAACTTTACAGGTATTTTTACAGTCCTGGGCACCACAGCTCCTGCACCTATCCTTAGCCTTGCAGCGACTTGTGGTGTGATTTAGTCGTCCACATTTAAAACACTGTCTAACATTGGGAATAAAGTGAGTAACTTTTAGGTTAATAACTCCAAACACAGAAATCGACTCCGGAATTTCGGTACCTAAGAAATTAATTTTAACTGATTCTGTAGGCTCCAATTTAAACGTGTTTTCTCCATCAGTATTAGTACTTTTCACCTTTCTACAAATCCTTTCCACACTCTTGACCTCAATCAACGAATCAATGTTCGCCTCAAGTTCTTTGTCACTCAAGTCAACAGGAACGTTCCTGATAACACCACTGGTTTCAGTAAAATTTTTCGGTATAAACGCACTTATTTTCATATCAGCTAGCTTTTTGTTTAAAACACACGCATTGGCATCTCTCCACTCCTTAAAGACAACTTTATAAAGCTTCGCACCTAATACAACTATGTTACAGATATTTTTCAAACCTACGTCTTTTATTTTACCAAAAAGATAAAGACCATTTTTAGCAATGATGTTTTCCGTACTCTTACACTCCTTGGTGTCCAGCAGAACACTTGCTACTCCAACGTGGAGCACATCGTAAAGATTTTCAGTCCTGTCAGAAGAACCATTGTTGCTAACTGCGTTGTTGTTGCTACTGGTAGCTTGAGATTTGAGGTTAACCGGCTCGTTAGTTGGAAATGAGACACCTTTAGCGCCCTCGTCCATTACATCAAAAAATGAATTCTCAGAATCCATAGAGCTTGTGGACTCTTTATTAGAACTTAAATTCGCGAGCTTTAAAACATGCTGATCATCAAGATTATTCAGTACAAGTTTTCTTTTCTTAGAATCATCACTTCGACTTATATTTTTGCTAGCACTGCTGATGTTTAAATGGCCGGCCGCCGAATTTTCGGCGTCCGCCATGTTTTTCGCCGGCTTGACCACCTTTTTTTGCCAAAGACTCACCTTATTCAGAAAAAAATCTTTAAAAATCTCCTCTAAAAAGAGTAATCGGGATTTAAAAAGAATAAATCACAAATAAACAAGACTTTATCTACTCAATGGTAGTATTCTTTCTAACCACACTGATTAAAATCTTCACTTAATTAGAGCACTATCCAAGGCACGTCCGTCCGCGCCCGCTGCCAAAAAGAGAAGGGGGATTCAAATTTCTGGGATCGAAAAGAAGGTAAACAAAGTAACAGGTTTCTGTAAGTATGCCCGTATTCGGCATATCAAAATATACCGTTGGGGAAGAAAATTAACAGACGTTGGGGTATTCGACTGGAGGTTACCCTGTATCTAAATTTAGCCATTAATATTTATCGGAGGTGTCACAGGTTGGTTTTGTGCTTTGATGTACTTAAGAAGCCTAACGGATTTTGGTGGGGAGAATTCTGCGAAACCCCCGAATATAATATTTTTCCGTCAGTATACCCTAAACAGTATACCCCAAAATTACAGGGTGTAGATTACATCTGGTCACGAAACTATCCCCTTAAAGTATTTGAAGTCGTTTTTTCCGGCTTTTTTCACTGTTTACAAGTCGAACACAAAATACAGTAATTTCGGGAAAGAAAAGGATTTCGGACCCTGCCCAATCCTCTCCATGAATGGCCCACGCCGCCTTGTCAAGCTGACGACACGTGCGTTCGCCTCCCTGGCACTAAACCTCCGACAGAGGAGTCGCTGGATGAAGACCATGGCCGTGCGCATGGCGCCATGTCCGGTTCGTCCACGAGACGCCTCCCCAGAGATGATCGCCCAGCTGGGGAAGCCGCCTAGGATGCGCAAGGACCCGGCATTCCGGAAGGTGAAAAGCCCCGAGTTCCAAAGCATTTTCACACCCGAACTGGAGGAGCTGGTGGCTCTCTTCAAGAAGTACGACTATGAGCTGCGGATTGCTGGCGGCGCTGTGCGCGACATCCTCATGAGCATTCCGCCGAAGGACATCGACCTGGCCACCACCGCCACTCCGGACCAGATGAAGAAGATGTTCGAGAAGGAGGAGGTGCGGATGATCAACGCGAACGGCGAAAAGCACGGAACCATTACTCCCCGGATCAACGACAAGGAGAACTTCGAGGTGACCACGCTGCGCATCGATATCCGCACCGATGGACGCCACGCGGAGGTGGTGTACACCACCGACTGGCAGCTGGACGCCAACCGCCGTGATTTGACAATCAACTCCATGTTCCTGGGCTTCGATGGCACCGTTTACGACTACTTCTATGGCTACGACGATCTCCAGGAGCGTCGTGTGGTCTTTGTGGGCGATGCGGATATCCGGATCAAGGAGGACTTTCTACGCATCCTGCGCTACTTCCGATTCTACGGACGCATAGCAAAGGAGGAAAAGAGCCACGATCAGGCCACTCTGGCTGCCGTGAAGGACAATGCCGCAGGCCTGGCCAGGATTAGCGGCGAGCGGATCTGGATGGAACTGCAAAAGATAGTGGTGGGCAATTACGGATCCGCCCTGCTGCTGGAGATGCACCGGTGCAACCTGTTCGAGCACATTGGGCTGCCCGCTGAGCCGAACTTGCAGGAGTTTGAGCGACTTTGCGCTGCTCTAGAGCACTTCGAAAAGCCGCATTATCCTATTTTGTACATGACGGGAATGCTACACTCTATAGAAGATGCGATGACGATGCACAAGCGCCTGAAGTTGTCCGCCTACGAAAGAGACCTGGCTAGGTTTATTACACAGGAGCGAGAAAAGGTTAGAAGTCCTACATATTTGGAATTACTTCTAATTTAAACTCTGACTTTTAGGTTGGCACAAATTACACTACCCTGCGCGACTACCAAAAACTGTGCTTGCAGAAGTACATTCAACGAGATTACGTAGAACAGCTGCTGAAGTACTCCAACAAACAAGAACTCTACAATCAGCTGAAGGCATGGGTCAAGCCAGATTTCCCAATCAAAGGAAATGCTTTGGCTGAGCATGGTCTTAAGGGAATACGACTTGGTCTGCTTATGGACGCACTTAAACTCCTTTGGGCAGACAGTGACTTCCAATTAACCAACGATGATTTACTTAAAAAGATTCCTGAAGTCTTGGAAAAGATACCGAGCTCTCCCAGTAAAGTAAGACGTGTAAAGTAGTACTGATTTCATCTGGAGCTCTCCTTCCTGGGTGTTTATATTTATTAAAGTTTATTTGACCATTTCGTTGGATCTATTTTAAACTCTGCTCTGTGTACTCTTATTTCTTTGTGAAGATCTGAATGGGTCGTTTGAATCCGGCTTCACAGTGCTCGGGTGTGCCCATAAGTTCCATGTTGGCAAAGCCCACTTCTGGGCTAAGCAGATATTCGGTGAATTGCTCAGGTCGGAATTTAATGGAATTGTAGTTATCCCTTATTTGTTCCTGAAATAAAATGGTTTCAGAGATGAACAAATAAATAAATAGTTATACTCACCGATAGCTTCTTGCGCCTCTTGTAGCCATCAAAGGACTGAGGCTCCAGGATCAGCTTACCGCCCGGGCGCAGCTGCAGGTACATGCGGCGGAAGGCCTGCTTCAGGCCGGAATCACAGAAGTTTAGATGAATCCACTTGGTGACAGACAGGCAGAGTATTACATCGAACTGCGGCCGCTCAATCTCCAGCAGCACGTCGTCGTCCAGCACATAGTTGCCCTGTACGAACCTCATGTTGTGGGGGAATCCCGGCCCAGTGACTGCCTGTCGCTTCAGGTGGCTGATGGTGCTTTGCGCATCCTTGACCAGGCCACGATCTATGTCCAGTCCCACGAGACTCTTGGCCTCGAAATTCTTCACAATCTGGATCGACAGGTGACCTGAGTTGCAGCCAATGTCCAGGAGCTGCTTGCCCCGGAACAAATTCGGCTGGGTGCCAAGCACGTCCAGGCGGATGTCGTGGAAGTCCTTGTCCAGGATTCGCTTGCCATAGTAGTGCTTGTAGTTGCCGTAAGTAAAGTTAAGATCTTTGTTGTGCTTGGGTTTTCCATTCATTTGCAGACGCTTCTTGGGGCTCTGCGAGGGCGGACGGGGCGTGGCCTCCACAACGGCATCCGCCCCCTTCAGTCTTTTATTTACCCCTTCCTTGTCTTCATGTGTAATTTCAAATTTGCGCTTTCCAGCACATTTTTCCGGCTCTTCGCCGGTCAACTGCGTGTTGTTGTTGTTCTCGATGTCCATGGTGAAATCTAAATAGTGATAGCACAGAGATGTAGCAAAGGCACTTGGAAATGTTAAAGTCCTTATACTCACCACATACGTCCATTTGATCGGAGTTTCATTGAGTTCATCCTTTTTTCTACATATGTTTTAAAACATAAAAAACTAAAAAATTAAAAACATCTCGCGGTTGACAGGGTGATTTGCGCGGCAATACCAAAATGGTCCACAAGGTGATTATTGCTGTACACGTTTAAGAGTGACCGGTTCTGAAAAAATACCAAATTTAATACTGCTTAAAAAGAAACTTGGCTCGCATTTTAAAATTGTCGTTAATTTCAAATATATAGGTAATGCAAAAATAAGCAGATTTTTTAATCAAAAAAGTCATAAAATAACACTAAAAATTTGAGACATAAATCTTAAAACCAATTTAATTCGGCCTATTCATGTCAGCTAAGACCTAAGAATGTTTAACTTTTTATAAAATTAATTATTTCGGACTTTTATATTAAAAGTCAAAGGAGAACAGTTATTTTTTGACCAAAAAATAGATCTCCGTAACTTTTATTTCATGATTTTCATAATAAAAGTCTTAAAATAATTGTTATTGTGTGACTGAAATATAAAGAAGTCCAAAAAATCAATTGCTAATAATGTCACCAAATCTTATCTGTTAAAATTCGTTTGAAATTTGTACCTACACTGGTCGGCATAATTATTTTGACAGATTTGAAAGTTAAATCAACTCTTATTTTGAACTTATAATATAAACTTTTGGCACCTATAGAAAGAGCACTTCCGTTTAAATGACACAAAAATGTTCTTAACCAATAAGCACCCTTTGAAAAGTTTAAACATTTTGTTTTTTTGTTTTTTGTTTTTTTTTAAGATTTTTTGAATAGAGAGACCTTAGTAAAATTTTGTATGAAAAGGAGAAAAGAGCGGCTAAATTTGAAAATTTTAGGGTCGCGTCGAAAATCCGATGCTTTGTCCCTTTGTTTGTATGCATCAAATCATTGTCCTAGGATCCTCAACTTCTCAACTTTGATTTGTTGATTTCTTAACTTTTAATATATAACACAAAAATTTTTGTCATAAAAATTTACAACCCGTTGTAGTTTAGTATGGAAAACATTTCATGCTTAGTCATGCTTGCTAGAATGCACCAAAACCAATTAGAATTGAAAAAATTCATATTATACATTTTTAAGGCATAAGTAAAACATAAAAGTTAGCATCGACTAACAATTTTACGCAATAAACGTAAAATGCCGCAAAAAATTTTAAAAAAATGTTTGTCGACTTTCGGATATCTTTGAAGATACATAATTCCAAAACAAAGTATATAATTCAGTACGGGATAAGATAACAAATTAGTCTTGGCCCTGCCAAGGGATTTAAATCCAAATAAAATTGATTGATGTTCAAAACTAAAACTTCGGCCAGCCGAAGCTTATATACCCTTGCAGATAAAGTAAATACCCATAGTTATACCCGTTACTCGTAGAGTAAAAGGGTATATTGTATTCGTGCAAAAGTATGTAACAGGGAGAAGGAAGCGTTTCCGACCCTATAAAGTGTATATATTCTTGATCAGGGTGACTAGCCGAGTCGATATAGCCATGTCCGTCTGTCTGTCTGTATGAACGCTGAGAGCTCAGAAACTACAAACGCTAGAAGGTTGAGATTTCCCACACATATTCTTTGGCTTCCTACGCAGCGCAAGTTATTTTAGCCGAGCGCCACGCCCCCTCTAACGCCCACAATCGATTTTAAAATGGGTCCTGTGCCCACACCTTTAAAGATTTCCGAGAAGTAAAAATGCAATTTTGTTGTGTATATTTATACCTATCGAAATGAAGACATTTTTCAAATCGGACCATTCATTAAAAAGTTATACGCAATCAAAATTTATATATCTATCTCCCTCGCACTCCCTTTAGCTGAGTTATGATTATTAGTTGGGACACCAACCCGAGTACAGCGTTCGCACTTCCTTTAGTTGAGTGACGGGTATTAGATAGTCGGGACACCAACCCGACTATAGCGTTCTCTTTTGTTTAATGCTCACTCGGTGCAGTTCCAGGGATTCCAGATTCAGCGTTTCTATTTAAATTTTGTTTTTAAGTTGTCAAGAATCAAAACGCCTACTTCCTACAAAGTTACAATGAATTTTCTAATATTTGTTTGAGCCTTAAGATATAGTGGTCCGATCCGGCTCGCTCAGACTTTCGGGAAAGTTTCATCGCGATAGTTTTAAAACTGAGAGACTAGTTCGCATAGAAGCGGACAGACGGACATGGCTAGATAGACTCGGCTATTGGTGCTGATCAAGAATATATATACTTTGTGTGGTCGGAAACGTCTTCTTCACTGCGTTGCAAACATCTGACTGAAATTATATTACCCTCTGCAAGGGTATAAATATTCGGTTTATAGTTATAATAGTGTGCTTATTTCGAAAAAAAACCCTGACCACTTTAAATGCCTCAACTTAACTGAATATGTTAAAGTTTTAAAATTGTATATATTATCGGTCAGTACCATGCCATTTTGGTTGTTGGCGGTAAATGCTTTCGCACAATTTACATAACAAAGCCCGCTTAATGAAAGCATAATATATGTTTTTGCAAATTGAAATCCTTGCTTTGTTTGCCGCATCCGTTAAAAGTGTCGGCTGCAATCGCACAGGATACAGATTCCTGACCAGTCGCGCGTGCCGCATGTTGACCCTTCATCGTGAAACTAAAGGGAGAATGATGATGACGGGGAACAATGCCAATGATAGTTTGGGTGAGGACCAGCGGTCAGTTGAAGTGCGGCCAAGGGTTGAACGGGAATTTGTGATTAGGTGACCGGCTCGTGGCAAGTTTTAGACTTAATATGCAGCTTCCCTCATCTTCCAACCTATTTCTAGTTCCTTTTAATATAATAGTATTCAGAAGATCCCCTTAAAATTTATGGCGGCTTCATTGTCAGTGCAATTATGAATTTTGAAATCCATTATCTTTTTTCAAAGTCTCTAAAGATGCCATAACCCAGAGAGTCCATTAAGCGGCAAGAGATAAATTCTACCAAAATAAATTGTAAAATTTCTTATAAAAAGGGCAGGCACCGCATAAGACATTTCCCATGGAAAACTTTCTGGATTCAAAGAATTTAAAATTAAAATAAAATTTCCAGCCAGAGGAAAGGGTTGGTCTGGTTTAGGAACCAGTTTTAGCTACTTTCCCAACAAAAGGATGCAGCATCTATTAAAACTTCAAATGACTTGTTGTTTTTCCCCTCAGCGTCCAAGTCCTTTGATGGATGGACAGCCCAGCATCCGCAGGCTGGCATAGGAAATGGGCATAGGAAATCCAAAACCAGTTTGCCCGAGTTTGTGCAACGAAAGCTGCAGAGCGTCCAACATTTAATCTGCTGCACATGCGCGGCTCTCCGAGTGAAATTAGAAGGGATTTGTTTGGTCAAATCCCTCGGCAGGCACCGAGCAATTTGAATACCCACATGAGGGCTGCGCGGCTAACAAGCCCAGCGGACCCAGAGTCCAAGGGTCGGTCCACCGTTTACGTTTATGGTCCTCGGTCCGGCAGAGCCCTGTAATTCGATTCGTTCGGGGGTAGCAAAGGGTTGCCCTGCCGGCGCTATTGTAACTTTATAATTTCGGGTCAGCGTGCTGGTCTACTCCCAATTCCCGATTTCCATCACCACCGGCACCCCGCTCACCTTCCTCCTCCTCCTCCCTCTCCTTCCCATCCGAAATGTGCATACAAATGTAGCATCAAATTATTTTGAAAGATCCAAGGCATTGTTCCCCCTGCAAAACGGTCATTTGCATGTTCAGTGGATGAGTGAAAAGTCTGTTCATATTCGGTCCATTTTCCCTCTTTGGTGAATGTAATTTTGATGGTTAAAGTGTTTGATATTGTGGCATAGATTGGCTTGTAGTAGCTCGGAAAAAAAAACATTTTTGGGGAGATTTCCTTCTTTTGTATAAGTATAGAGTATTGTTCGTCCAAGCAGAGATCATAATCAATTTTCAAAATTAAAATTTTATCTTTTTTCTAGCCACTACGTAAATTACGAAAAGTAGTTAAAACATATTTTAAATTTGAAATTGACTTTAAAGAAATTTAAGTATTCATAATTATTATTATCAACTACAAAAAAAATTAAGAAATAGACAAATGTGGAACACTTTTCGCATTTATTTTATTAGATAACCTTTGCCAACTATTTTATTTAAAAAGTATAGGGCAATGTAGTCTTTTGGCCTGACCCATCCAAAATCTAACAAAGCCCTAGGTTTGGGTAGTTCACCTTTGAGCACCCTTTCCCATTAATCTGCATGACTATTGGCATTCGATTGCCATAAATTCGGCTTAATGCGGCAATGACCCAAAAAACCAGGCCCTAGTCCTAGGCGGATACCTCTCCTTAGAGTGGAGTCTTCACGGGTGAACGCATTTACCAGTTCAAGCTGGCATAACAGAGACTCAGGCCAAACCAAGACGATCTCTGAACTCACCCCGTCGTTGGGTCAATGAAAAATCGGTTCAGTTTTGAGGCAAAAATCATTAAATTCGTCACAAAAAGGAGCGCAAGGAAAAGGGGAAAAGGTAGGGAAAAGAAAAGACAAGAAAAGCGGCGAGCAAGGGTTGGAGACCTCGGGAAAGACCTTTGGCAAGGCCCTTCGATTCGCCTTTGTTTGCATTTCACCTCTGCTCGTAATTTACTGTGAACCCGGCGAGGATCGGGGTCGGGATGAGGACGCTGCCGAGGATAGCTGATGACTATCTGCTCACTGGGGTAGCTGCTGCAGCTTCGCCAGCAGTGACATCATAAGACGTGACATATTCGAACCCGACCTCAGGACCTCTGGTAGGATTCTGCACCCTTTGATACCTGGGCCTCGGTTATTTGATCGCTCGTAAATTTCTTTTTCGCCAGGATCGGTTCCTTTTCCTAATCTGAATCGCAATCCTTCGCCGATTTTCGCACTGTGGGAATTTTTTGCGGAA